GAAATGAAATCTTTATTTCTTCATTCATTTGTCTATTTCTATTTAACTCTAGGAACGAAAAAAAAGATAATCCTATTTCTATCATTTTCAGACATTCATCTCGTGAACATTTGGATTCTGATTTTAAAACACTTTTAATTTTCAATTTAAAACCTCTAGCGAGGGGATGATTTAATTTTACTTATTTCCTTAAGCATGCCTAATGGTTCTGTTTATTTGCATCACCCATCTTTCTGAGAAGAATAATAATGTTGATGGTATTTTTCGTACCTTAAATTCTTTAGGCATAGCCGTAGAATAAGGGTAAAAATAATATTTTATACAATTTGTCGAATATACATATACATATAACCATATTAAATGTATGTTCACAACAGTACTCTATTGCCAGTTGGGAATTCTGGAGCTGTTTTATATATCATTACTCTTACTTTGGCTTCTTTGTATATATTGGCGATTGTTGTTCCAAATATAAACTCCCCGGCACAAAATTCCGCCACCCTAAAATTTTGACTAAGTTTGTTGTTTCATAACTTTTGAATTTGTAATCCGATTTTTATGCTTATGCTATTAGTTTGTATATAAATTTGTTGGCATTATTTTTTATTATTTTAATGGCTTATATATTTCGGTTAGATGGGTTTATACTGGGGTAAATCAAAACTTCGTTTTTTGCAATAAATTCAAAACACCCTGTTGAAAAAATGGGACGGGCATTTTGGATAAAAAAACACTTTCCTGTAATCTTAAATGTATTCCTAACATTTCGTTTTTTGAATTATCCTATTATCTCTATTCTTTTATGAGCTACACATTTTTAAATAAAGTACTGATATTTTTACAATGTTGAATTTATTGAAAATGGAACTCTCAATGTCCACCGTTATATTGAGGATGTCCTCCAAGAAGTTGCATTGCTCTTTTCACTGGAAATCAGTTTATACTGATGCATGATAATGCCAGGCCCCACATTGCGCCCGGTAACGAGTTAGGAGTACGAGTAATGAACGAGTACCTGGATGAGGTTGAACTACGAAGATTGAAATGGCCTCCTTGTAGTCCCGATCTTGGTTCTAACACATCATACATACATCTAAGATTACAGGAAAGTGTTTTTTTTATCCCAAATGCCCGTCTCATAATTATGAAAATTTTTAACATTTCTTTCATTGTGGGAGGGGGTGTCATAATGAAAGTCATGTTGATGCGCGTGTATCTAAATTTAAATTTTCTAACATGTCTTGAAAACCGTTCTCTCAAAAACGTAAATAACGTTCACCGGTCAACGTATTCTCGAAACTATGACAAAGAAAAGTTGAAACAATAATTCTACACGCTTTCAATAAGTGACCGAAATAATATTAAAATCGTTGGTTTGTCATAATCTATACTATCTATACCAATATATAAAATCCTTAAGTGACTGACTCACTGATTAATCACGATCCTGCTCAAACCACTCAACGTAAGAAGCTCAATTTTGACAGACAGATTGAAAAAATGATACACATATTGGTATCAAAATCAAATTTCTCATGCCAAAAAACACCTAGACACAAATTTTCATCCAAATATTGACGTTACTTCAGAAATTATTTGGAAAAAATCAAAATAAAAATGAAACTTCTACACCCTGTATCTCCGAACTAAGCGTTTTAGAACATACATTTACAAGAACTTTTATACATATTTTTATCTGCAGAATTTGCTGCCGAAGTTTCCGGAATACAGTTCGGACCACCCTGTATGTTCTATTTCTATTTCTAGCCATTCCATATTATCCGTTAAATTAATTTCATAAATAAACACTGATCGCCTTTTATATTCAGCATTTCGCAAAGTTTCGAGTGGACTCGAGTGTTGTCGCGTCTTGGCGAGAAAGTGACCATCACGAAATTGAAGAAAGTAAAATGCTTTCTTCGTTTTCTTTGGCGGTCGACTTCGATGCCTTGGTACCGCCACTTGACCTACATCTTGCGATTATTTATAGTACCGTACGTTTGTCGTGCCGTCGAATAAATGTGCACTTTTATAAATAACTCCACACTGTGTACATAGTCTCGTTCCACCAAGATATCAGTGCAATGGCAGATAAAAGATATTTTGAAAGTTCAATACACTTTAGGTTGGTACTTTTGGTCTTGCAGTTATCGTATTAAAACTCCTATACCAGTTCATTTTCAAATTTCTATACCGTTTCAGAGAAAAATAAAAAAATATTCCTAAAAATCTCACTGCTTGCGTCCATGACGATTCCACTGTATTATTGCATACCATTCCACTGTATATTACACCTTTTGATTTTTAAATCGCGCTCTCGGTATTTTTTTACTTTATTCGATAGAAAATGACATTCTGAATACAATGACATATGATATGTCAACTTTTGACATCCTCGCTTAATAAAAAATCGTATTTTAAATTTCAATCTAGAGTGCCATGGCTTCATTAAAAACACTAATTCTTAAGGAGCCTTGGAAAAATAGATTTGATCGTCTAATGTTTTAGTGTCTTGTCCTGGCTGGTTAAAAAATGCCCAAATCGTATTTTTAATCATATATCAATTTTTTCAAATGGAACGGTTGTGGCTCATTAGCATATTTGGAAAAAGCATTTTTTACGAATAATTTGATACCACACACTTGGTATTTCGAGTCAAATTTTCGTTACTTTATTCGATAGAAAATAACACTCTGAATAGATAGATAGATATATAATGCTTTATTTATTTCCTTATTGTAGAATACAAAAAGAAACCCAAAAAAGGGTATGGAAACAATGTCAGTAAAAATTTTTAAAAGAAAATAACGGCATATTTCAACAAAAAATGAACTATATGAACAAAAATAAATAGTAATATTAAAATTAAATATTTTATGAAAATAATACTAATAATGAATTAAATCTATGTATGTATAGACAGATAACAACACAAAATTATACTTACAATAAATAACAAATTTAGATCAAATGATACAAAACAAAAGTAAAAACATACGGGTGTGGATGTTTTTACAACAATATACAATCGATGGTTAAATATGACACAGGGCGCTCTTATCACTGTTTAGAAATTCGGCGAGGGAATAAAAAGCTCCTCTGCACAAAAAGACGTTTAAGCATTTTTTAACTTTGTTTTTAGGCATAGACAAGGTAAAATTTTCCGGAAGGGAATTGAATATTTTTATTAGAGAGTAATCTATATTTTTTTGAAGATAGCTGAAATTATATTTATCCGAAACCAGCTGTAATCTGTGTCTAGTATCATATTCATGTTCGAGCCTACGGTGTCCAAATAAATTCCAGTTTTCCAGGACAAACACCACAGCCTCCAAAATATACATGGAAACAACTGTAAGAACGTTATGTTCAACAAAAATCTCCCTGCAGCTTTCTTGCTGACTCAATCCGAAGATACTACGTAAGCATTTTTTCTGTATTCGTAATATTCCTTCCACCTCCGTGGAGTTTCCCCAAAAATAATACCATACTTAAATCTGGAATAGATAAAAGCATAGTAAGCTGACATAGCAGCATCGATCCCCACGGACCCCGATATTACTCTCAGCGTATAGCAGAACTGAGAAGTTTTAGATGCCAGTACTTCAATATGGTGAAGCCAATCCAAACGTCTATCGATCGTTAAACCAAGAAATGAAACGCTATTTACTGAACATATTTCCTGTTGCTCGTGCTGGAGGATAAAGGTAAAAAAATTGAGTATCGATTGCTAAATAACATACACTGTGTCTTGGATATATTGAGAGATAGTCCAATAGAGTGAAAATACTTCGACAAATCGGACACAGCCAATGGGACTCTGGTTGAGAGTGAAAGGACATCACTTGCACTGAAAAGCACAGTCGTATCATCAGCATATGTTTGTTCCTGAATAATGTGGGGCACCTCATTTGTATACAGTATATAAAGAAGTGGACCCAATATTGAACCTTGCGGTACCCCCTTTTCAATGATTACCTTGTTAGAAACTATTTTTCTGCCATTCAAATCAAAGTCAATAACCTGCTGTGTTCGCCCACACAAGTATGACTTCATCACTTCTAAAGCCCTTCCTCGAATACCATACCCATCCAACCTATTCATTAAATAAATGTATTGCTCAAGCATCTTAGATGTATATATGTAGTGTAGATAGTAGATGTTAGTTATGTATGCCTGCTAGGGTGCACCAAAAAAAATTTCTTTTAATTACCGTGAAAATATCGTTCACGATGATGAAAATAAATTCTGGTAAAGTTTGAGATCTTAATATTAACATTAAGAGCATTAATAACACGGGGAATTTTTTTTGGAAATTTTATTGCGTTCTAACAAATGAGCGTATTGTAAAAATCAAAACATATTCCTGTAGGAAATTGAATGGTCTTAAAAAAGGTCTGATATGAATTTTCATTTAATCTGCGCCTTTGAAAGTTATTAAAGGTAAAAGTTCAGCTTCAAATCGTATATGATAACTTCCACAATTTTTTATATTTTATCACGAAATAATGGCTAAAAACTCGATTTTTTATCTGATAAAATAAAAAAGTTATAGGGGTGAGCCACTTTTGAGACGCACCCGTTATAACTTTTTAGATAATATTTTTTTATTGACTAAATCTGCTACACCTTCAATAACTTTCAAACGAGTCGATTAAATGAAAAATCACATCAGCACTTTTTATTTTCTTCCAGTGGCAAAAAAAAAGATTTTTTCAAGAATTTTTTCCAATTTTTCTTATTTTTTTCTGAAATTTTAATCAAATCCTTGAACTACATTTTTTTTCACTTTCACTAATTTCATTATCATTTTCTATTATTTCTATCACTGTATCGTCAGTTCTTCGATGCCAAACGATTATTATTCAGTGGCTAAATATAATGTCGACAAAATAAATGACTGTTGAAAAAATCTGTGTGCATATATTAACAATGCCGCGATTCCCGAGCGGTCGAAACCGCACACAACTAAAATAGAAAAAGTAATTACACATTAAATTATAGTTTGAATAAAGCCGGGACAGTCATTAGCACGTAGAGACGATTATTCCGTTTTTGCAAGCGTTCTTTTTGTTTTGGTACTACTACCGGCGACAATACTAGTACCATTGCAAAATGATTTTGTGCCCCACATATCGGTCGTGATAATGTGTAAGTAAAAACATAACACAATATTCTGTACTTATTTTATTCACTTTTTTATTTTTTCTTTAAATAATTGCATTTTATTTTGCAGTTCTATGTCTACAACTTTGAATAATTGGTATTTTTTTATTTTTTTTAATATTTCTGTAAGTTCTACATTTTCTATAGTTCTTGGCTCCGCCAGAGAACTCGTAAATAACGAATACCTACAAATAAACGTGTTTAAATGGCGAGAAAACGAAAAAATTAGTATATAATTATTCTAAAAGCGTTAGAAAGTGTAATTTGTGGAAATTCCAAATAAAAAAATAAAAAGGTAAATTATTTTGATATCTTCCAAAGGTCTAACTGGCATTATAATTTATTATTCCTGTTAAAAAAAATTTAGATGAGTTTAACTACGGTAGCGAGCATAGTTTTATGACCGGTTTATATTTCGGCTATAACGAAATTTTTTAAAGGTACATAGTTATAATTTTAGAAGATGTTCATAAAACATTTAATCATTAGTTGAAAAATATTGTAATATTTGAGGGGTGGTTTTACCCTCTTCGAACTGGAATTTCGAAAAATCCCTTCTTATCGGACCTCTACACCCTAGAATCAATCTGTCTGTCAAAATTGAGCTTCTTACGTTGAGTGGTTTGAGCAGGATCGTGATTAATCAGTGAGTCAGTCACTTAAGGATTTTATATATTGGTATAGATAGTATAGATTATGAGAAACCAACGATTTTAATATTATTTCGGTCACTTATTGATTTGCTCCTCTATTTTTTTTAAATTGCTTAAATTTTTCTTTATTTTCAGTTAGAATAAGAAAATTAACTCCAAACAAGATGGGACTGGGCGGACATTTGCAACAAGAAGAGTATATTTGTAATTTACCAACAGAAGAAAAGAAAAAGGCTTTGGAAGAACTTCGAGAAGATGACAATATCAGGGAACAATCTTTGACTCAGATGAGAGAGTGGATCAACAAACATCCTAATATTAAAAGATGCAGAACTGGTGAGACTACTGTTTGTTTTTTCATTTGATTCTTTTTCTTCTACTTTTTTGAGATTTAGTCGATCTGTTAGTTTTAAGTTTGTCTCTGTAGGAGTTCTTGTATCTTGTACAGGACCAGCGGAAGGGAAATATTGAGACCGGGCGAATTAGCTTCTTACGAATGAATATTTGTCTCATATAATTTTAGGGCAGATCAGCCATTAACAAATAAAGGGTGTGGGTAGTAGACAAAGTGCAATTTTTAGCGGTCAGTCTAAAACTGTCACTTTTGCTGGCTCTTGACCCAAAACAGTTCGTTTAGAGAAAATTCATAAAAACAAGAATTATAGAAAGAAGGGTTATTTACAAAAAGTTGATAGCTTTTCAGTTATAAGTAAAATACCACTAACAATTTTTTTTTAAAAATTTAGGTGCTGGCGTGGCGCCCTTCACGTTCGGCGCCCCGGGCGGCCGCCCGGGTATTTACAATTATTGGACTAGATTAATTTGATTAATAAAACTCGATTAATTTAATTTAAAATAAATTTGATCAGATTTTTTTTTCGTATATTCTACTACCAGAAAACCAAAATTATATGATAACGCACTTTTCAACGAAGTTGAAGGAAAATATAGTGTATCTATCACAATACTTAATAGAATTACTACAATTAGAAGAAAAACAAAAAGAAAAAATACCTTCACCTACTACTCATCTACAAAATAAACTAATATAATCTCTTATAAAAACACTACACAACTACTTCTTCACTACTTCAACCACTTCTACACTGAAACAATTATCAAACTTACTAATTAATCAAACAAAAAGAAAAAATAACCAAATTATCCTTTCACCTACTACTTAACTGCAAAATAATAAACTATAAAAACACTACTAAACTATTTCTGGTATTCTACACTAAACATTATAATTAAACTTAATAAAATTAATCTAATTTTACACTACAACCACTACAACTACAAAGAAATAAGAACATTTTTTAAAACAAGAAGAAACCGAACCTCGATACGTGCAACCAGTATAATAGATCAAGCGGACAAAGAATATAAAATACTTTAAAAATGTGTATTCAGAAAGAAAAAATATCTCGAAAATTATCTAAACAAACATTTTTTTTTCTTATCAGTGAAAAGCATCGGCCTCGTCGCCCTTGCGAAGTTTGTCGGGTATTTACAATGGTCGAATTGTATAATTACCAGCTTTTATAGGATATCTAATAGACAAAAAGTATCTGGTCGATTAGTAACCAATTGGCACAGTCCGAAAATTATCGATTTTTATTTTCTCTGTTTTTATTGGTCGCTTCAAAATTCAGAGTAACAAAAAATATTTTTCTGTAGTAAAAGACTGTGAAATACGCCCCGCCATCTGGTTCTTTACATCCATAAACGTCTTAGGTTGAGATACTTTAAAAATTCATACACAAGGCTAGTAGTTCTTCAGGACTATTAGCAATTAGAACTATGTCATCAGCGAATCTTAGATGGTTGATTTAATATGTAAAATGTGAACGTGTGTGTGGATTGACTTTAATAATTGTATTTGTAAGTTACGACGACCTTTTTATTATTTGTTATTTATTTGGGCTCTCCCTTGTTAGGTCTGATGATGCTCGTATGAGCGAAACACGTGTCACTGTTTAACGTAATATCGTTAGTAATATTAACGTTGAGACCGAGACTTTGAGTCTTTTTTCTACTTCTTTTTAATTTAAACCAGGTCGTCTCTTTGAGAAGAATGGACGCCTTCGTTAAATTTAATCCTTTGTTAGTCCAGTCCAGTTGACGGAAGATTTCTTCTAGTGTTGCTGTAAACAGCTTTGGGGATATCGCGTCTCCCTGTCATACTCCTTTGTCACCCTTCTGGGGTTGTTTTATATATCATTAGTCTTGCTTTGGCTTCTTGCTTGCTTTGTCTATAAAATCTATGGCTAGTGGAAGTTCGTATTCTTTTGTTTGACTGATAGTTTCACTTAGTGTATGTATGTGATCAATCGTGCTGAAGCCTCTTCTAAAGCCTGCTTGTTCTCGTGATTGTGCAACATTCTGCTGTTTATTATTTTTGTAAATGTTACTGTTAATAGACTCATTGGTCTATAGTTTCTGATGTCTACAGCCGGTATACTAGCAGTAAACAAAGTGTAAATCTGAAAAAATATACAGAATAGTAAATAAGGTTTGTCCGGCGAGAAGATATATGACAATGTCAGTTTTCTGTCATTTTAATTCAAGTAAATCGTATTTTCTGTCGTTTTTCGGATGTTATATCTGTCGAAATCAAATATTCTTTCGCCAGACTGACTTTACAAGTTCTACAAATCATTTAAATTGTCGATTTCTTGGGAACTTTCTCTTTATAAAACAATTTAGTTTTTTTTTATGGAATCGTTGATATTTAGTTCAGAGAATCCGCGTGCAAGCAGACGGTAATTATAGTAAAAACATAAAATATGATTCACCGTTCCAAATAGGAAGTGGACTATACATTCGAATTGTATTTTTTTTTTGTTTAATAAGAAACATTATACGTTTATGTACCAATAGAATAATTTGTAATATATGCCTTATTTAGTACGAGTGCTATACACTGATTTCTTAAGAGAATAATATGCAACAGAGATACATTACATTTATTTTATTTTATTTGTTTTTTACTGTATTTTAAACTATTCCACAGCAATATGCCAATTAACGAATATAATATACAGGATGTTTCAAATTAAATTTAAAAAACATACACATCTATTTTGACTCACATTTTGAACACTGAACAACAAACATAAAATGTTACATACAAAATACCAGTGAATGTGAGAAATTTTATATTGGTGGAGCATCTAATATATAATAAATATTTTTTAAAAAAATGTTGCAAATATACCTGAAAAAATATTTGGGCTTATTTTAACAAAAATGCAACAGCTTAAGTAGCACTACTGATACATTTCAACATTTTTAGTAACTCATAATTATAAACCTCAAGTAGTTTAATGTACTGCAATTAACTGAACAAAGAGAAAATGAATCAATCTCTAATCAATCAGGACATCATAACTTCAAACCTGCGCCTGTAACCTTCTCGACATTGTCGACATTTACTTCATAGTCGAAGTATTGTCGAGGTGTCGATGTCTCCAATAAAAGTCGACCTGTCGTTGCCTAACTCGGTTTTTAACAGACGTATCTGCTGAAAACTAAGTAATGAACTAACCGGAATTTATTTAGATGTAGTAAATGGACTAATATGTAAATCATTATACCAGACAGTTACTAGTTATATCAATTAATTACTTTATTTTCTACACCGTCTATTTGTTCTTAAAGCTAAAAAAAGAACTTTATAATATATTTTTTGAACTATTTCAGTATTTTCAATTTTCAACTACACAAAGAAATAAATCATTTTTTATAGTACTTATATCAACAAATAAAGACTTGTTTTGCTTTTTGTCCTGCATGTTTTTAAAAAGCTAGTGCACTAAAATAATGGGTATGTTGACTTTGTATTTTAAGTTTTTAACAAACTTCCTGATTCAATATTAACAAGTTGTTTACACGCTATCAAATGATTTTCTACGTTTCTGTGAACATACATTTCAAGGATTATATTATTCAGATCTATTATGGTCATCTTCCGATCCTTAAATTACATTCTCCAGTTCTAGCCGTTTCAAAAAGTCTATCTACTTCTCCAAGTAGATAAGTGAACCCTCCATAAGAGTTGTCAAAGGCCTATTATTGTCTAGGACAAAGAACTGCACGTGTGCCAATCTGTCGCACGAACATAAAATGTGTTCTGTAGTTTCTTCTCCAGATTGACAAAATTTGCACTTGTTTTCTTCCGTCAATCCCATCCACTTTAGATGCCTATAAGCTTGCAATCGGAATCGTTTCACTTGAAGATGTTGCCGGGAAGAGCATAACGAAAGTTCTCCGTTTCCTCAATGTCACCAAATGATTAAAACACAGAACACACTAAAGAAGAACTCTAACTCCCATGCATTTTTTAGTTTCAAAACGGTTTCAAATTTGTAAAGAAATCTATAATCTGTATATTGAAGTGGCGCCATCTAGCCACACAGGAAAGTAACAAAGGTGGCGGCTAATTTAAATAGATGCAATTTATTTTTAAGCAAGACGTATTGACTTGTTCGCCAGTTAGAGCCAATCAGATTTCTACAAAATAATGTGTAGTCATCTGATTGGTCCCAAGTTGGCAAACAAGTCAAATGGTAAAAAACAAGGATTTACATATAAAGGTATTGTTACGTTTTTCGTCGGTTCCGTGTGGATAGAAAGTCACAATTTATTTAAACACTATTTATTTAACACTAATTAACAAAAAAAACAATAACGATAAAAGACTTATAGAACTATTTACAAACGATTTATAACTAAGAATTTATTTTGAATTTTAGCGCGTCAATTGCACTCTCTATAACTGCCCTCTCTAGGCCACAGCCGCCGGCTTTTATACCTACAGCAAAAGAAATCTAGAATAGTCCATAGATCGTTAGGTGCATAGAGAAGGTTTTCGAATGTTCTCGTATGTACTAGTCCATTCCAGTGGGACTCGATTCTTCACGAACGAATGAATCATTACGGTGTCTATTCTTTAATGCGATGTTAAGTTCATCTGAGGGCGGAACATATAGTTAGGTTAGGTCGAGTCCACACGGGTCCGCAACAGTATAAACTATTGTAAAGTGTTAAATGGTTTGCTTATATCATTTTATGTGCATAAAAACCTACAATAAATAGTTTATTTTAATTTACAGAAAATTATACCACGAAGCATTTTACAAACAAATAAAACAACAGATTAAAAAGTATAATATTTACTATAATACCAGATTTAAGAACACATAACAAATATCGTTGGAATACAAGAGAAAGTGACTAAGTCCATTACATTAAATTACAGTAAATATTACTTTGTTAAAAAATAAAATTCACGAATATTTGGACTTGGTTAGGTTACCTCACCTCACTTTCTCGGATTATTAAATAAAATTGTTAGATAAATCAAAGACCTTTAATAAAGATCTTAAAAATCAAACACAAAACAAAGTTCAAAAAAAATGAAAAATACAAAATCACGATTGTAAAATGAAGATTGAAAAAAAACACAGCCATACAGAACAATGACAGAACATAATTAATAGGCCTATTTAGGCAACTACAAAAACAATTTTGTACGCGATTTTTAGGCAACTATAAAAACTAAAATAAAAATACGCCATCTAGCGCCCCAGGAAATTACTACCCCAAAAACAGATCGTTCAAGGTCGTATATCTCAGTTGACTGGCCCTGGATTAAAAATACTTAACAATGCAGTAGAGGGAGATGGCCGATTCTACGCCAGGATCAAGGATCAGGCGCACTGCGCATGCGCGTAAATCAGCTAGGAACATGTAAAATACGCTAATAAACAGGTTTGAACAGCTTTTGATCAGCTTTGAACCGCTTTTTAGCTTAAAACAACAGACCTGTTCATTTTTTGTTCATACCTGTTTATTTCTATTTTAAAGCTGTTCAAAGCGGTTCAAACCTGTTTATTCTTGTTTATTAGCGTATTTATATTTTACATGTTCCTAGCTGATTTACGCGCAGGCGCAGTGCGCCTGATCCTTGATCCTGGCGTAGAATCGGCCATCTCCCTCTACTCAATCCAAATGTACCATCCCTAGGGATCGGGTTTCAGACTGGGTGTTATCAAAACGGCAATTCTGCTAATTGAAGTTTGACAAGCGGTCATATTCACCAATTTAACCAACCAACCAACCATAATATAACTCTTAAAAACAGAAAATATAATAAATACTAATAAATTAATCTTTAATATTTTTTTAATTCATATTTGATTCGTATTTATTGCTTTTTAAGAAAAATAACGTGTTATTATATTTACTAGGTCAATGTTTTAATACGTTTTTTTGGTTATCCAACTTGCAGATGCTCCATTTCTGTTACGATTTCTGCGTACCAAGAAATTTAGCGTACCTCTCGCCTGCGAGATGTTGGAAAGGTACCTCATCATCAGGCAGCTGTACCCGCAATGGTTCAAAAATTTAGACTGCGACGACAAAGACATGGCAGAAATCATCAACGCAGGATATCTCGTTCCTTTGTTGGAAAGAGATAATGGCAGATTGGTGAGTTAAAATTAATCTTGTAGATATAGAATCACCGCAATCCTATAGATCTACTGTGTCCCCCTTTCTTGAGTTATAACTCATCATACAGTCTCAGGGCTTTGATAAAAGCCAGTATCTGAGACAGTTTTACAGAGCTTAGTTCTGCATCTCCAATATCAGTCGTACCAAAGTTTATGACACGAAGGGTTGTCGTCTCGGCGTACTCAGTGATGAGGTGTTCTGGTCCCCCATTTTCCCCACAGAATCTGCATTCGCCGTTGTTTCTCAGCTCTTCATCTGAAGATTGTTTTTTCTTAAATCAAGGAAAATCTTTGATTTTTTTCTTAAGCCCTGAGAAATTTCTTCGAGTGTCTTAAATACTGAACACTAGGGTGAGCCAAAAAAACTAACCTTTGGAATTTATGGGTTAAAATGAACGCAAATTCAAAGAAAATAATGGCATTTAAGATAATTATTTTTTTTTAAAGTTTCAACATCTTGTATCTTTAAAACTATGCCCATGTTTATAGGAACTTGTTTTAATATTTTTTTGACGAATTATATGTCTAATTGATATCATCTTTGTCTTCTGTGGTTTTAGGTACTGTTCAGTTGTGCGGGAAAATTTGATCCTCACAAATACACCTCCGCACACATGATCAAAGTGCACAGTCTGGTAACAGAGGCATTGATGGACGACGAAGTCAACCAAATCAACGGATACACCTACATCAACGATGAGAGCGGATTCCAGATGGCGCACATATCGTTGTGGAGTTTGACAGATGTCAGAAATATACTTAGATGCATACAGGTAACTCGAAAGCAAAAATATACAGGGTTTCCAGTTCAAACTAAACAAGGCAATTTAAAGGCATTTCTGGTGTGAAAAGGACAAAACGGTGAAACACGTCAACTTTATTTTCGAAGGGGAAATAAGATGCGACTATTTTTGAAGCCCCTAATTCAAATCCCACGCGGGGGTGACATCCACCCTTAATATTTTAAATCTAATGCGGGGTCGAGTAGCACATCATTTGAAAGGTTAACAAATCCGGTGACATATCTGGCCATTCAAGAAAGGGTCCCTTTCTTCCAATTCACCGACCGGGAAATATTTCATCAAGATACTGCCGCACAGGCACAGTATAGTGTGGAGGAGCTCCATCTTGTTGAAACACAAGTTGATTTTCGTCATAGTGATCTTCATTCTCAATTATTTGTGTAATGCTGGGATTTATGGCATTTTCTAAAAGTTCCATATACATATTTCCATTTAGATTTCCATCCAGAAAGAACGGGCCAACTAGACAGTCGCCAAAGATTGCAGCCCACACATTATTTTTTTCCAGGTACTGAGTATGAACCTCAAGGAATTCTCTAGGATTGGTATCAGACCAGTAGAGACAATTTTGGCGATTTACCGTTCCATTGATTAAAAATGTACATTCATCCGAAAAGCACATGTTGAAAAGAAGACGTGGAGTAGCAATGAGCATTTCACTTAATTCTTCACAGAATTGTAATCGTTTGTCGTAATCATCTTCGTTCAATTCTTGAACCAGATGAAGTTTGTTAGGATGGAATTTGTGGAACTTTAGTTTCCTGTGAACACTACTCTTACTTATTCCTGTGGCTGTTGCCAATTGTCTAACACTCATTCTTGGTTCTGCATGGATTTGCCCCAGAACTACTATTTGCATTGCCTCATTGTTAACTACACCAGGTGGAACTTCTCGCTTCTTTGTAAGAACACTTCCAGTTTCTCTAAATTTAGCTACTAATTCCAGCACGTACTTTCTATTGACATGTTTATCTGGATGTGGGTAATTAAATAACTGTGTGTGCCGTTTTATTGCCACATCTGTCATGAATAAAGAAAGTTTCAATTATCTCAACTTTATCTGCAGTAGAATAAACCATCACGTCAATTCACAATAATACTAAATACTCTGACGATAATACTAAGCACAGTAAGCCGTACAAAATATTAAGAATACTTCCAAACTGAATGACAAGATGAAAAAGATTTAGCATTACTGCCTCAAAAGATGATAAGATATTAATAAAAACAATTTTTTACCTACCAAAAACTTGTTTATATTTTTGTATATATTATTTTTTTGTTATCGGCTAGTACACGTCTTCTTTTCAACATGTGCTTTTCGGATGAATGTATATTTTTCATCTACGGAACAGTAAATCGCCACAATTGTTTCAAAGCAGGTTACTACGTTTTGTGTATTATTCATTATTTCCCGTTCGAAAATAAAGTTGACATGTTTCACCGTTTTGTCCTTTACACACCAGAAATGCCTTTAAATTGCCTTGTTTCGTTTGAACTGGGGCACCCTGTATAATGTACAAGGCATGTTTTTTTAAGTAAGTACCGTTTTGCGATTCCGCCGCCGCAGCGCTACGGTCGGCGTTCCGCGCATGCGCGCTGGTTACCTACATCTCTTGTCTATGCACAGACGTCAGTACAGTCTGATTCTTCATTGTATACGTTGTTTATTGAGTGTTTAAGATGCCTCCGACAATCGTGAGCCCCGCCGATTGTGAAGTACGGGCTGTCATACGATTTCTTAGTGCTAAAGGCGTAAAACCGATCGATATTCATCGTGAGATCTGTGAAGTTTACGGACAAAACATTATGAGTAATGGAATGGTCAGGAAATGGGTGAGAGCATTTAAAGATGGCCGCACAAATGTGCATGATGAAGAACGGGTGGGCGTCCTTCGGTCGTTAATGAAGATTTGGTGCAGAAAGTGGACGAAAAGAAAAGAAAACAGACGCTTTACAATTTCATCATTGTGCGACTACTTTTTATCAATGTTCTCGTAGTGTTTTGTATCGCATTGTGACCGAGAACTTGAATTACCGGAAATTGTGTTCACGTTGGGTTCCGAAAATGTTGACGGATTTGCACAAACCCAACGTCTAGGCAGTGCATTGACTTTCCTTGAGCAGTACCACAATGAAGGTGAAGATTTTTAGACAAAATTGTTACTGGTGACGAAACATGGGTGGCCTACGTCACACCAGAATCGAAACAACAGTCCATGGAATGGCGACATTCATCATCACCCAAAACAGTGAAGTTTAAGCAAACAATTTCTGCCCGGAAAATCATGTGCACAGTTTTTGGGACAGAAAAGGAGTATTGCTAGTGGAGTTTCTGCCTCGTAATGAGACAATCAATGCAGCATCTTATTGTGAGACATTGAACAATCTGCGCCGTGCAATCCAAAACAAAAGACGTGGCAAGTTGAGTAAGGGTATTGTTTTGCTGCATGACAATGCCCGTCCACATGTGGCTAATCGGACCAAAGATCTCATCAAATCTTTTAAATGGGAAACTCTAGATCATCCTCCATACAGCCCTGATCTGGCGCCCAGTGACTACTATTTATTCCTGCACCTGAAGAAACACCTGGGCGGTCAGCGTCTTCAAGACGATAACGAAGTCAAAACAGTTGTGATACAGTGGTTAACCAGTCAGGCGGCAGAATTTTATGAGGAGGGTATTGAAAAACTGGTGCCACGTTATGACAAGTGCCTCAATATTCACGGAAATTATGTAGAAAAGCAGATTAAGGTACAGGCTTTCATGTAAAAATAAAATTATTGCGATATCTTTGCACGTTTTTTTTTAATTCCAAAACGGTACTTACTTAAAAAACATGCCTCGTAATTAACATATTCTTTAAATTAAAATATTTACCCAAATCATCATATTTTTATTTATATAACTGCAAATATTGTTAGGGGTAGTATATTTCGACTCCAGAAACACAATTATGAGGTTTTTTTGCAAAAAATTGAAAATTTGAAATTTATTGTAAAGAATTTTGGATATTTTATTAGTTTTTAGTTAAAAGATATAATTTGTTAATAATGTTACGTTTTTCGTCGGTTCCGTGTGGATAGAAAGTCACAATTTATTTAAACACTATTTATTTAACACTAATTAACAAAAACAATAACGATAATCCCTTAAAGAACTATTTACAAACGATTTATAACTAAGAATTTATTTTTGAATTTTTAGCGCGTCAACTGCACTCGTCTATTTATAACTGCCCCCTCTAGGCCACAGCCGCCGGCTTTTATACCTACAGCTAAAGATTTCTAGAATAGTCCATAGATCGTTAGGTGCATAGAGAAGGTTTCGATTGTTCTCGTATGTACTACTCCATTCCAGTGGAACTCGATTCTTCTCGAATCTTCGAATGAATCATTACGGTGTCTTTTCTTTAATGCGATGTTAAGGTCATCCGAGGGCGGGCCATATAGTTAGGTTAGGTCGAGTCCACACCGGTCCGCAACACTGCCCCCTTCTTAGGTACATGCTCGTCTCGAGATGTACACGGTGGATGAAGGTATTTGCAAAGCTGGCCCCTGGTACATTGCGAAGTCTGGTAGAAATAGCAGTCTACAGTTTTCTCTCCCGATCTCAGCTTTGGGTTGTAGCAGCAAACAAGGATCCCGATTCCCGTAATACTTCAATCATTCCCATCTTCAATCCCGAACAAGACTTCAATCATGTTCCGGATTGTACGCCAACTCAAACCATCGAGTCCACACGCCAGCTTCGGAATGGCTAATCGTGCAATGTTGTTGTTTAGCAGGGCTTCTCTCAGTTCAATCAGGGTCTTCCATAGATTGAGATAAGTCGGCTTACTCGGGGACCATTCCTTGGTGACCAGGTAGAAGATGTGTCTTGCTTGACCATGTGCATTGTCGGTTAGCCTCAAGACGCTTCCAACCTCTGGATCCTGTCGGCGTAGTTCTCCGACACGCCCAAACTTCTCATTGAACGTCGCAGCGATTCCTCTGGACATCCGCAAATCTCGGGCCACACAATGAGCGAGCGAATAATCAGGAGGCACGGAAAAGAGGTCTCGTTCATCTTCTTTGGTTACACCATAGCGAACCTTCTCACTGCTGTTGTATCGGGCCATGAAATCGTCAAAGGACATCTCCGAATCAGGGGGATTAAAGCTGCAGGTTCTCACTGTCCCAGCACGATCTTCTATTTCGCCTTGGTAGGGGCTCAAACGGTTGAAATGGACTACCCTCGGTTTTGCTTTTGGCAATTTTCTGATACGGTATACGACGTCATTAATCCTATCCATGACTTCGTATGGCCCTTCCCACGAGGATTGTAGCTTCGGAGATAACCCACGACGTCTCTGCGGGTTGTATAGCCACACCAACTTCCCTGGTTGGTATCCTCCATGCTCAGCTTGAATGTCGTAGTGTTCCTTCATTCGGTCACTAGCACTTTTTGAATATTTAGGCGGACTCGCTGATGGATGTCGTCCATTTTTTGACGTAATGTGTGGACATAATCTTCTCCGGCAACTTCTTCTCCCGGTCGGCAACCAAATTTCAGATCACAGGGTAGGCGCACTTCCTGTCCCATAACGATGCTGGCTGGAGTTTGCCCTGTAGATTCTTGGACGAATGAACGGTAGGCCAACAAGAACAGGTGAAGAAATTTCTATTATTTAACACTAATTAACAAAAACAATAACGATAAAAGACTTAAAGAACTATTTACAAACGATTTATAACTATGAATTTATTTTTGAATTTTTAGCGCGTCAACTGCACTCGTCTATTTATAACTGCCCCCTCTAGGCCACAGCCGCCGGCTTTTATACTTACAGCTAAATATTTCTAGAATAGTCCATAGATCGTTAGGTGCATAGAAAAGGTTTCGATTGTTCTCGTATGTACTACTCCATTCCAGTGGAACTCGATTCTTCTCGAATCTTCGAATGAATCATTACGGTGTCTTTTCTTTAATGCGATGTTAAGGTCATCCATATAGTTAGGTTAGGTCGAGTCCACACCGGTCCGCAACAATAATATGGCAACGTAGGTAGGTGGTTTTTTAAATTTTTAAAGTAAATTATTTTAGATTTATTTGAAAAACGGTAAAGAGAAAATATGCTTCTTTTATCGAGATCTACCAGCCTTGAAAATATTTGCACTTATTTAAGACTCACCCTGTATATTAATTTTCTTTGCCTTATATAAAAATGGTAATTTTCTTGATTTAATTACCTTATCAAAATCGAAATATTTTGTGTACTATCTACTTATATTATTTATATTTTTTTTTTGTTTCAGAATACCACTCCAATGAGACACAAATCCAACCACTTCCTAAACATTTCTTCTAGTGCTATTAAACTCATAGAATTTGCTATCTCACTATTGAATGAAAAATTAAAAAATAGAATATTTGTAAGTAACCATTTAAAAAAATTAATTCAAAACATTCTTGCGTAAATAAAATGATCCATAAAACAGTTATATGTATAACAAATTTTTGTATTTTCTCTAAAATATATACAATAAACCTAACATGCTTATTTTTTGTTGTATTTTAGATGTACAAATCTGTTGAAGAACTCTACAGCAAAATAGACAAAAAAATCCTTCCCAAAGAGTACGGAGGCGAGGTACCTCTATCCGAAATGGTGGACAAGTTCAAGAAGCTGCTCAAAGAGAAACGCGACTCTATCCTAGCTCTAGACGACATGTACATAGAGATAGACGAAAAATCCTGCCCCCTAGTTTCGGAAATGAACGAAGAACTCGGCATAGGCATCGACGGTAGTTTCAAGCGTCTCACAGTGGATTAAATTCAAAGTCTATTCTATTTTGAATCTCCTCATGGGTTTATAACCGTATGATCGAAAAAAAAAACGGCGTCAAAGACGGCCGGGAATGACAATCAATGATATATTTGGCGAGGTTAAGCCCTAGACATTGCTCTTTTTTATTTTTTTTATGGCACGTACTGCCAGTTGGCCTTAAAAGGGTTGTAATTTATTTTTATACCATGTAAAAATGATTTATAAATGGTGCAGTTTAAAATTTAACAAAAAATAATTTCTTGGAAATAGATTTATTTGTCTGGAAACGTTTTATCCTATTTTAATGACATCTAGAGATTGACCTCGCCAAAATTATCATCTATTGTCATTCCCCAGCCGTATTTGACGCCGTTTTTTGATCATACAGTATTTCTGAGATACAGTGCTTATTTAAACATCTCCAGTTGACATAAAATATTGTCAGTAGTCAACAGCAAAGGCTGAAACTACAAACAAGCTACTGAAACCCAAACGGTAGTAACTCATCTAAATCTAAGCATTTGTTTACCCATAATTCTTAACTACATTTTCTGTAAGGAAAAATGAAGATTTTTTGAAGCTAATTACCAACATATTATTTCCTTTTTAATTATACTACGTTAGGTATTTTTTTTTATAAAAATTTGACTATATCCTTTTATATTTTTTTAACATTCCAAAAATAGAATATTTTCCAGCTTAATTTTATATTTACTAAGCTTTTTCTTAGAATTATTATTATTTATCTTCATATAATTATTTGTCTATTCTATCTGAAATAGCATTTTAATGTAAAGATAAAAAACTTTTTTCAACTTGTACATATCATTTTTATCTCTGTTTTAATCTTGATTGAGTTATGTGATATATAAACGTTTTATTACTATTACTATTATTATTTAACTTGTTGTTAAGTCACGCCACCTGGTGGAGAACAGTTACCGACATTTTGTTTAGAGCACGACAGCTGCATTTATTGGACTTAAATTAAGCTTAGTTAATTAATAATTAATTATTTTTTTATATTGTTACTTTTTAGACATTTTTTATCGTTTTAAATTTTAGTCATTTTTTTTTTAATGTTGAATGTTGTGTTTTGTGTTTAGAAATTTATGACATGTTTTTCTTTGTGTTTATGGTTTTGTGTTTTTATTATAATAATATATTATATAAAAATAATTCTTTTATTATTTCCTGTTTATTTCATTCTTCAATGAAAACGCGCTGATGGCTAATCATTCGTCGGCGTTTTAGTATTAGAGAATACAAAAAAATACCGTCAACCGGCGGCATGATATTTCAATATCTGTAAATGCGGGTGGAAAATTGAATTAATTTGTCGTTGCCGGCGGCATGCACTTAACCTGGTAGACAAAAGCCACCCAACGGCGGTATACTGTATTTTAAACATCAAATACCGCCAAAATGATAACATAAAATAATATCTTTTCATTTTTTGACTTGAATTGAGCTGTCGATATTTTTGTATGCAATAAAATGTAGTTTTTGTTTGCCTAATCGCCTAATATACGTTGGTAAAAACAATAACACTTAAAATTTGCTAAAAAATTACCGCCGGTATTCTTTATATATTTAGCAACAACCGCCGCATTTTACCTCGTTCGGCGGCATTCAATGGTAATAAATACGTAAAACCGATACCGCCGGTATGTAAGGTATATACCGCCGGTATGTAGGGTTTATACCGCCGGTATGTAGGGTTTATACCGCCGGTATGTAGGGTCTATACCGCCGGTATGTAAGGTCTATACCGCCGGCAGTAATTTAGCCAGTTTGTAATAAAAAAAATAAATGATGATTTAATTGTAAATTTTTTTATTGTATACCAAAATTATTTAAATAACTTAACAAATATACTGATTTAAAAAATATTCTGGATTAAGAATAACACACCTATAAACAGTGCGCTAATACTAACAATACTAGAGTCATCTCTGCCGTACAAACCAAACAAAACTACGTTATCGCTAGTCGTTGTAACAGTAAAATTTAAAATCACTTCATCCAGAGAGTCTTCATCCACAACTTCCGAGTAAGTCGCGTTATCAATCGTTAGCAAATCGCCTTTTAAGCTCATTGGTCTGAAGAAAGCTTGTGGATTGCGAGGCATGTAAGTGCTGTTTATGGATATCTGTCTGAATTTCGTGGTGTATGCAGAGGAAGGGATTTCCCCGCATGTGCTTACGTCATCGGTTAGGCAACCCACCACTCCGCATAGTTGGATCTGGACGGATTTGGAATCGAATATCGTTTGGCCACTGTATGCCAGCAATCTGAAAATACAGAAGACGAGTTCTTATATGTATCTTTCTTTATCAAAACTATGTTAACCACTAAGGTGATTAGCCATTTTAGAACGAGCAAAAACGTTTACAAATAATGCATTTTTATGTTTTTTTTTCTACAGGGTCGGGCAATAGTGCGTCGCGTCGGGCTGGGGTAGTAGCTCCTAGAATAAAAACTAGAATTTTGTTTAAGTGAAAAGCTAAAGTATGTACGAATATGTGTTGCAGGAAAGTATTTTAACTTCCACAGGGTGGCTCAAAAAAGTGTGAGCGGATTGGGGTTATTTTTTTTAAATGGAACACCTTGTATATCATTGCTCTTTTTGCTTCCTTTCAGACCACTTTACATAATCCAAAAATAAAAAAGTAAATGCATTCGATAGTTTCAGAGATATTAATAAATAAATAAAAAAATAATATTTCTCAACTTTTCTTAAAAAATCGTTAAAAATACAGGAATTGTCTTGAAATCAAAATTATAATAGGTATTGACTTTAGATACTCTGAACTTGCTTTACTATAAATATCGTAATCTTGAATCATACAGGATGTTTAAAATTCTACGCCAAACTTTGTTGATAAGGTCGCGGTCGGGATTCCGGCATTGACGTTCGAATCCCTGACACTACCCCCGAGCCAGTGATGATGTTCGTTCATAAATATAATATGTAAGTACATATTTATTTTTATAATTAATTATGCATTATTCGTAAGTTAATTAAATTGTTTATTAAATTAAATTGAACTATTTATTTTTTGCTATGCCCCTAGTCATAACCCACAAAATGGGCCGTGACAATATAAAATAATTTTTCTTCGTTTTTTTAATGTTCTGTAACTGGAACATCCTGTATATTATTTTTTAATACATGGAGAATTAAGAAATGGACATTTTTTGTATATAGAGTATTTTAAAATTTTAAATGGTTCCGTAGATATTTGCGGTTTTATACAGGGTTGTTCACCACATACGACACGGAGTATTGTAGCTAAACGATTTTTAAAGATTTAAAAGATTTTTACAAATTGTAAGTTTGGGGTTCGTTGAAGGACTATTAGAGCTACAATTTAAAAATATTTTTACAAGATACAGAGTGTCCCAAATAAATAAAAAATATCAAAGTTGTATTTTTTTAAATGGAACACCCTGTATATTATTACATTTTTAGTTTCTACGATTAAAATAAAGGTAAATTTGATTAAGGTTTATTATACTTAAACTTTACCGTTTTTGAAATATTTTCAATTTTGTGAAATTGTAGTCAAAATTTTAAAGCTTCATTTCTCCAAGGGTATCAATGTTTTTAATACTAAATATTTAATGAAGTTTATTTATTGATCAGTTATTGTGTTGCAATAATAAAAATAATAGTACCTTATACACAGTGTCTAAAAATTTATTTTAAATAATTATTAGCTTCAAACGGCAATAACTTCTTTAATTTAAATGGAATGCCCTATATATTTTAGGAGAATCAGATGCACAATTAAATTGTCTATCAAATTGTATTATACCATTTTTTACCTATCCCTTCAAGTTTTCGTAGAAAATGCATTTTCTTCTAAATTAGACCTCATTTATCAATATATCTATGGAATATTGACATTTTAGATTGTTTTTAAAGCAACAAATGTACAAAATGTACAGACTAGTAATATTATCGTTTTTAGCAAAACGATAATATTACTAGCCCATTTGTATGCAAAAAGAAAACTATTTAAATCTTTATAAAAGGGTATACCATTAATTAAATATAACACCATTATTTCCGCCCATATACTAATTAATGACATACTTAATTGTGTTCGCTAATAAATTATTATAAATAAATGTGGATTTTTGAGTCAGAAATCAATATAATAATAAGTTATCAAATTAAAGCCTTTGTTGTTATAAATAAGCATTTATTAAAAAATGAAATATCATTTTTAAGATGTTACTTTTTATCACACTGTCTAATGCCCATGCAAAATTCAGTTTTTTAGTATTTGGAGCAATTATTATTAATCAACGCAAACAGTCAGTTAATGTAGTTTGAATACTGGAATCATATTAATTGGTCCTCTTTAACAAATATTTAAACAGTTTTTTTTTATTTTTTAATGAAATAAACGAATTATATCGACAATATTAGTATCTGTACTCTTTAAAAATTTGTTACATCTTTAAAAATAATCTAAAATGTCAATAGTCCATGGGTATATTGATAAATAAGTTCTAAATTACAAGAAAATGCATTTTCTACGGAAACTTAAAGAAATAGGTAAAAAATGGTATAATATAATTTGATAGACAATTAAATTGTGCATCTGATTCTCGTAAAATATACAGGGTGTATATACCATTTAAATTAAACAAGTTATTGCCGTTTGAAGCTAATAATTATTTAAAATAAATTTTCAGACACTCTGCATAAGGTAGTATTATTTTTATTACTGCAACACAATAACTGATCAGTAAATAAACTTCAGTAAATATTTAGTATTAAAAACTTTGATACCCTTGGAGAAATGAAGCCTTAAAATTTTTACTGCAATTTCACAAAATTGAAAATATTTGAAAAACGGTAAGGTTTAAGTATAATAAACCTTAATCAAATTTACCCTTATTTTAAAGTACTCTATATACAAAAAATGTTCATTTTTTAATTCTCCATCTATTAAAAAAATTATATACAGGATGTTCCATTTAAAAACGAAGAAAAATTATTTTATATTTAAGAAAGTTTGGCTTAGAATTTCGAACATCTTGTATGATACAAGATTACTATATTCATTGCTAAAGTCAATACCTGATATAGTTTTGATTTCAGGACAGACAGTTCTTGTATTTTTCAGAATTTTTTTAAGAAAGGCTGGAAAAAAAATATATTTTTTTAATTTATTAATATCTCTGAGACTATCGAAATATATTTACTCATATCTTAGGATTATGTAAAGTGCTCTGAAAGGAAGCCAAAAATGCAATAATATATGAGGTGTTCCATTTCAAAAAATCATCGTAATCCACTCACACTTTTTTGAGACACCCTGTAGAAGTTGCAAAGAAATATTTTCCTGAAATACATCCTCTTACATACTTTAGGTGTGCACTCAAAAAAAAATCCCAAGCTTTTTATTCTAGGAGCTACAGATGCCCAACGCACTATTGTCGGACCCTGTATAGTAAGGAAAATCCGAGGACATCCTGTATACCATATTGGTACTTACTTATATACCTCCGATGAATTTGTTTCATTCTGTAGTGCGACAATATTAAAGTTACAGCAAAAACAGTCGTGGCATAAAGGTTCTGAAATGTTTTCTTTGGACAGATCCAAAGATCTGAAGGTATAGGCTTGATGGTCGAAATCCCTCAATCTCTTGTAGTTTGCTAGACGTTCGCGTGTAATATCACCGCCTGACAGCAAGTCAAATCCGCTCAGAATCTGAAAAACAGAATTTTTAATCAATGTGTGGCTTTGAATAGAGATACGTTTACACAGGCCAAGTCAACAAATCAACACACATGAATTCATTTCATATGAATGTAATATGACGGTCTAAACTCGACAAATCATGTCAATGATCAAACGAGTTTGATTTTTAGCGTTCCAGTGGTGTTTTTAAAATGACACCAAGTAGTTAATCAGAAGAAAATTCTGTGAAGTACGAGGCATGTTTTTTTAAGTAAGTACCGTTTTGGAATTAAAAAAAAACGTGCAAAGATATCGCAATAATTTTATTTTTACATGAAAGCCTGTACCTTAATCTACTTTTCTACATAATTTCCGTGAATATTGAGGCACTTGTCATAACGTGGCACCAGTTTTCCAACACCCTCCTCATAAAATTCTGCCGCCTGACTGGTTAACCACTGTATCACAACTGTTTTGACTTCGTTATCGTCTTGAAGACGCTGACCGCCCAGGTGTTTCTTCAAGTGCAGGAATAAATGGTAGTCACTGGGCGCCAGATCAGGGCTGTATGGAGGATGATCGAGAGTTTCCCATTTAAAAGATTTGATGAGATCTTTGGTCCGATTAGCCACATGTGGACGGGCATTGTCATGCAGCAAAACAATACCCTTACTCAACTTGCCACGTCATTTGTTTTGGATTGCACGGCGCAGATTGTTCAATGTCTCACAATAAGATGCTGCCTTGACTGTCTCATTACGAGGCAGAAACTCCACTAGCAATACTCCTTTTCTGTCCCAAAAAACTGCACATGATTCTCCGGGCAGAAATTGTTTGCTTAAACTTCACTGTTTTGGGTGATGATGAATGTCGCCATTCCATGGACTGTTGTTTCGATTCTGGTGTTTCGTAGGCCACCCATGTTTCGTCACCAGTAACAATTTTGTCTAAAAAATCTTCACCTTCATTGTGGTACTGCTCAAGGAAAGTCAATGCACTGCCTAAACGTTGGGTTTTGTGCAAATCCATCAACATTTTCGGAACCCAACGTGAACACAATTTCCGGTAATTCAAGTTCTCGGTCACAATGCGATACAAAACACTACGAGAACATTGAGGAAAGTAGTCGCACAATGATGAAATTGTAAAGCGTCTGTTTTCTTTCACCTCTTTGTCCACTTTCTGCACCGAATCTTCATTAACGACCGAAGGACGCCCACTCCGTTCTTCATCATGCACATTTGTGCGGCCATCTTTAAATGCTCTCACCCTTTTCCTTACCATTCCATCACTCATAATGGTTTGTCCGTAAACTTCACAGATCTCACGATGAATATCGATCGGTTTTACGCCTTTAGCACTAAGAAATCGTATGACAGCCCGTACTTCACAATCGGCGGGGCTCACGATTGTCGGAGGCATCTTAAACACTCAATAAACAACGTATACAATGAAGAATCAGACTGTACTGGCGTCTGTGCATAGACAAGAGATGTAGGTAACCAGCGCGCATGCGCGGAACGCCGACCGTAGCGCTGCGGCGGCGGAATCGCAAAACGGTACTTACTTAAAAAACATACCTCGTATATCAGCATTTATTAAAAATATGCAGCAGATCTTGCAGTCGAACATTGTTTTTTTTACAACCTGTTTTAGTGCGAAGTGTACAAAAAAGCTTAATAGCCGTAAAAAACTCATCGCAACTTCATTAGAATATTTTGGCATTGCTAACATAAACATAAGTGGCAAAATATGTCTTTTTGCCGACGACACTAGCCTCACTTGGAGCAACAAGGACGTCACGGCACTTCGTAGGATTATATCAAATGACTTAATCACCATTAAATCTTGGTGCGATTCGAACCTCCAGAGTCTCAACATTTCTAAAACTAAAGCTTTGTTGTATAAAACCTCGCTGCAGCCTTTTGTACTTAGCAACACCACCATTGACGTCGTAAAATCTGTAAAATTCTTAGGGCTTGTTGTGGACAATTCTCTGAAATGGGACATGCATATCGAAGCTTTGTCGAAAAAATTGAGCTCTGCCTGTTTTGCATTAAGATCTGTTTCTAAGGCGCGGTCTTTTCAGTTATAAATAAATAACTTTTATCTAACAAATAACCATCTAAAAGATAAACAATCTAGAGCCTGATATCTATAGGATATAACATTTGGGTATTTTCATACAAAATAATCCAATAGATAACAATTTGGAGGACGGCCGCCTACGGACCGGTAGACACTCCGTAGAGAAAGTGTTGCCAATATAAGATATCTGAAATTGAGATGGTTATATATGAAAAGTCGATACAACAGACAGAGACAGAAACTCGGAATTTCAAATCGTTAGATTAAAAAGTGAGGTTATTGTTCAGTTGTCAAAAGATCGTCAAAATGAAAATAAAAACAATAAAATTCAACTAAAATATATTTTGTGTTCAACTCCAACTAGTCCTATTATGGTATAGGCTATTTAAATTTACCTTTATGGAAAAAGGGAAAGATAATTCAATTTCAGCAGTGGTGGTGGTGCAATAGATCTATTGATGGAATGCGATTTATAAGAAATTAAAACAAGAAAAAATAATCTGTAAGTAATTTATAGTTTAATTACATGATATTCTGTTATATTTATTATATTAACATTTTAGTACAATTGATAATAGAAAATATGGAAGAAGCAGGTAAAGTGCAAGCAGAGATTTATAAACCAATCCTAAAACCGCCATCTGGTAAGTTATTAATATTGAAAATTAAAAATAGCATAAGACTGTTAGTAATAACAAATATGTTGTTCTAGGGCTTCTCATAGTAAAGAAATAGGTAGGATAGCATCAATGATAGTAATTAAGTTGAGTTTTTATTTTATAAAATAGATAAATGCACTTATACTTTTGTCTTAATAATAATAAATGAATAGTACCTATAATAATTGCTACATTTACACATTATATGTACAAATTATTTAATAAAAAAAATTAAATAAAAACAATTTTGTCATATTACTTTTATTTTTAAGAACTCAAAGTGATGGAACTTCAGAAAAAAAAGAAAAAATAAAGGAAAAATCTTGTCTAAACAAAGTTGAATTAACTGGAATTCAAAGGACCACAATACAGATGTTTTAGCAAGGTTTAGCTAGAGAGTTACTTAAAAAACAGCATGGAGAAGAGATGTACCGTATGATCGAAAAAAATTCGGCGTCAGCAATGGCTATGAAATAAAGATTGCTGTCATTTCATATGTAAATTTATATGGGAAATATCATCGAACATCATTTCCCAGCCAACTGGATGCCGTTTTTTTTTCGATCATACGGTATAAGGTACATAGTGCAAGAAATTAAACTAAAATTGTAACACAAAAGAAATAAAAGCAAATGTGAGTTGAATAACAGGTTTTATAAGGTTCCTGTTATAATATTAATGAATATGCGAATTAAAAATGAAATAAATAGTTTGATTTAAAAAGTTTTAATTATTTTTTACCTACTTTGGAGCTTTATTAAAAACTAGTTAAAGCCTGGCACATCCGCCACGAGATAAGGAAAAAGAAATACTTTTTATTTTTTTTAATTAAATGAAAAACAAAAAATCCGGCGACGACAGTTTTTAGAAGAGCCATTTAGCTATCTTTCAGTAAAAAAAGCAACTTTCAACTAGAACAAGTCGTTACTTCAGTAGAGACGACAGAGATAAACATTAGCATTTTATATAATATGTAGTAATGGTTTATAATTGAAAGGATTTAAATAAAATAATTTATAAGTTACTGTTTTATCACTATTATCCTAATTTAATGCATTCTCTTCGTTCTGATGCTCTAACAGAACAGAGACTCTCTTTATTTTGTAACAGTCCTTATAAAGTCCGGCACTAGCAACAATAGCTTTTTGCACCATTTCAATGTGTTTATTGGTGTTTATACCCCATACGTTCTAAAATGATTATAGCCTACATACTGAGAATAGGTAAGTCTTTTCCAAATAATCTAAAATCGAATTTATTGGAATAAACGAAATCTTCAATAATAACAATGTCTTGGTTATGTTAAGCAATTTTGTCAAATATCAAATAAAATCAATATCTCCTCATGCCTTTGCTCATGCGTCAAATTTTTATCCGACAAATAAAGCACTATTTGGCAGTTCGGACGCCAGGTAGGATATCTGGGAGATAAGTTTAATTTATCTAATAGATACTGTTATCTATAGGTGAAGATACGCGTTTTTCTGCTATCCGTCAAATAAAATATATCTGGCAGATTATAACACGCTATCTGTACCTGAAAACACCGGGGGTAAGGAGCTTAACTTGTCAGTGGCTAAAACTGTTTATTATGCACTTTTTGAGTCGCACCTCAGGTATGCCCTTCCATTCTGGGGTACGCGTTGTGCGACTCAATTTGACCGCATTTTCAAGCTCCAGAAGAGAGCTGTTCGATATTCACTGGGACTAAACAGCAGAACTCATTGCTAGGACTTTTTTAAAAAATTAAAAATATTAACTCTTCCTTCCTTATTTATATTTGAATCCGTTTGCCTAATACGTAAGCATATGTATCAGCTTCTCAAGAAAGGCCATCTCACACTTATCCACTCAGGAACGCGGAGCAAGATCTTTATCTACCTACCCCACGCTCAGAGTTAGTTAAAAGTTCAATATTATACAACTCGAAAAAAATGCACAATCACCTGCCATTTGAAATCAGATCGATAACATCATTTTCTTCATTTCGCAAAGCATTGAACTGTTATTTACTAGACAAGGCTTTCTACGCCGTAAATGAATTATATTTTGATAATCGAATTTAACCTTGTAAACACTGGTCTAATGTTTGCTATTGCTATATTTACCAATGACACCGAAATAAATTTATTTAGAGGTCATTGATATTTACTATAAACGAACTAAATATTTTTGAATATTATTTTTATTTTTTATTATTCTTTGATTACAGTTGAGGGTTGGAACCTTTGGTGTTACACAGCAAAATAAAAACACTAAATCACCACAATACACCAAAACACTTTTACTTTTACACTAGTTACTAGTTAGTTTATAATCATCTGCTGATGATGAACTGTATGTGTGTGAGATAATGACTAAAGAATACCTGGACAAGTAACACCCGAGACCAAACTGTGACCATTCTTCCAAACAGTGCCGTGACATATTTTTCTTAACATAGCCGCTTGAACCGATATTTATATTTTTGATAATTGTTTTGACTACGCCTATGGTGTATGCGGTATTATCATACTAATTAATTACGAAAAAAACGTATTAAAATGATAACAAAATGTATAAAACTAGTATCGACGTAATACTTGATATGTGCTATCAAGTATTACATATATTATCAGAAAAATAATTATCGAATTTAATAAGAAAACGCTAAAAAGGTGGAGTGGACCGATTATTTCGCTATAAAATATAACTCCTGGCTCTTTCTTATCATTGCGCCTTTTACACTTGAAAGCTGAACAAATTACCATTGTAATAAAGTTTATACAAAGTTCATTATGATGACGAGCTGATGACTCATTCGTTACTTCCAAAAAAATGGCGTCTAAGGTCACAAATTCTGCTGCAGCCCGTATATGGGCGTTATATGTCCTTGTATGCTTTAGTCATCTTTAGTCATTGGTGTGAGAACTTACAAAATCTGAAGTATTGATAACTGTGTCCACATTACCAAAAATAACGCTCGTTGCAGCTTTGTCGGTGATCACTCTTCTTAGCACGGTACCATCGTTAAGATAGATACCGCTACCGCCAGTACCATTTGAAGGTTCGTTGATGTTAGCAGCTAACAAATTCACTTTGTTAGCCAAAACATAACCCACTTGGACTTCCAAAGCTAAAACAAACATGTTTAAAGTTTTTACCAAAAATTGTTGCAGATTTGAATGAAGCAAAACTTACAGAGGTAGAAGGGTAGGTACGAGTTCCAAGCAGCTGGATAGATCACATCCGTCACATTGGTACCGTCCAGCAGCGTTTGGGATGGATTGTAGTACAAAATGTCCATGCAAGTCATCAAGCCAAATTTACCAAAATCAGTTGTGAAGGTTACTAACTCGTTTCCAGGCGTGAGTTTTGGTTCTTGAAATAAGTTGATTTTGCGATACCTAAATAAATTTGATAATAAATTAGAGAATAACAAATTTCAAATTAAACAGGGTGGTTCAAACTGTATTCCGGAAACTTCGGCAGCATATTCTACTATAAAAATAAGTTCGTATAAATGTATGTCCTAAATGCTTAGTATCAGAGATACAGGGTGTAAAAGTTTATTCATTTTTATTTCGATTTTTATTTCCAAATAATTTCTGAAGTACCGTCAATATTTGGATGAAAACTGGTGTCTAGGAGTTTTTTTGACATGAGAAATTTGATTTTGATGTCAATATGACTTCTAATTGTAGAGGGGGTCACCTATATATTTTTTAACTGATTTGAAGAGTAATAACTTTTCTAACTAATCTTGATAATTACAACAATCTAGACTAACACTGGCCCTGATACACAAAAAATCTGAACACTTTATATTTATCAAGAAAAGTCTATGAAATAAATTGGACAAAAAAGTTAACTCACTTTGCAACTAATGTTCCGTTACTTGCAAAAACCACATTTGTATTGTAGTAAAGTGTGTTGTTTGTAGAGTTATCATGGTCCTGTTCCAACACATTTACCACTACGTACATTCCATGCTCCCTAGCAGCATTCGAAAGTCTTAGCAATGCCTAAAACACACATTTTAGTACGAAATTAGCGTGCGAGGGAATGAAAACGACGTCACAGTAAGCAGAGTATTAACATTTCAGTGCGAACATTACGATGTGTGGCTCACCGACAAAATGTTACCTCTTACGTTACATTAGACAGTAAAACTCAAATGGAAATACTATTTCTACGCCTATTGTGACATTGTTTTAATCGATTAATCGATAATATATTTTTTTTATAATTTCTTTTAATGATTTTAATATATATTTTTGTTTTACTTACATCGCTAGCGTTTGAAAAATCAGAAGTATATAAAGGTGGAACAATTATGGAATAGTTCTCTGGGTCTTGTACCAAATCTGTCAATCCATATTCGGGAAAAACGACTATTTGAACGTTATGTTGCTAAAATATAAATTTTAATAAATAGCTGTACCCATTTCGGTGTAAGTAATTATTGTTAGTACACACTAGTATACAGTATGTCCCCGGATTGTCTTTACAAGACGAAAAACTTTTTTATTGTTGATATACAGGGTGTTTCAAAACAAATGCGAAAAACTTTAGGGGCTTATTCCTTGTTCAAAATAAAGGGTATAGGCTTTATAAACGTTGGGTCAAAAGTCAACCATTAGGGAGATATCGCGGTACAAAGATGGCGGAAAAATAATGTTTTTATTTTTTATCTTGAAAACGAAAAGAAATAGACTAATCAAATTTTATGGAAGCATTACTGTTATGAAAACACACTTTCAGGTAATTTTTTTACTTTTTTAAAATGAGTGGAAGGGGTTGAAATAAACTACACCTATCATTCTTGTTAACGAAATTTAAAGAAAAACCTTATCAAACACATGCAAATGCTTTAATTTGGATAGTTTAGTTTGTTTAGAAACTTTTTTACCTCTTGTGTTTTTTTTGATAAAACTCACCGATTGGAAATTAAAAAATAAAATGTAAAGCATTACATGTCAGGACAAAAAACATTTTTAGATTAAGAATCTAGTGATAATAACGATAATAATAATCATCTAGATCATAACGTATTGCAGTAGAGTAATGTCAAATAAAATAATATTAGGAACATCCTAAAAAGTAACAGCATCCGACTAGATTTTTTCCTAAAAAAATTACAGCAGCCCACTAGATTCTTTATCAGAAAATGTTTTTTGTCCTGACATGTAATGCTTTATATTTTATTTTTTAATTTCAAATCGGTGAGTTTTATCAAAAAAATACGATAAAAAAGTTTCTAAAAAAACTAAACTATCCAAATTAATTTTTTTGCATGTGTTTGATAAGATTTTTCTTTAAATTTCGTTAACAAGAATGATAGGGGTAGTTTATTACAACCCCTTCCACTCATTTTAAAAGAGTGAAAAAATTACCAGAAAGTGTGTTTTCATAACAGTAATGCTTCCATAAAATTTTATTAGTCTATCTCTTTTCGTTTTCAAGATAAAAAAATAAAAACATTATTTTTCCGCCATCTTTGTACCGCAATATCTCCCTAATGGTTGACTTTTGACCAAACGTTTATGAAGCAAACTACCCTTTATTTTGAACAAGGAACCACCCCCTGAAGTTTTTCGCATTTGTTTTGAAACACCCTGTATAAAGGAAAATGAATCCATTTTAAACATTTTTGCTTTTTCTAAAACGGGTAATCTGGTTTATGTTTTGCGAAATTTCCATATCTTTTTAGAGAAAATTAAAAAACATGGAAATATGGTTGAAAGTTCTAAAAATCAAAAGGCCTTTCTTTGTCATTTCATTCTTTGATAGATGGTTATTATTAATTTTGATTGACATCGTATTTTTTGCTGTTGTTAAACTAAATCACATTTTGCAATAACCATTATCACCCTTTCTGTAACATCGAACTAAATAAATTTTTTGCTACTTTGACATTTTAAAACAGCAAAAAATATGACGTTATTTAAAATTCTATCAACAACAATCTACCAAAGAATAAAATCGGAATGATATTACCATAGAAACGCCTTTTGATTTTTAGGATTTTTTAAGGATTAGTCAACTATATTTTCATGTTTTTTTTTATTTTCTCTAAAATGGTATGGAAATTTGGCAAAGCATATACGAGATTACCCATTTTAGAACAAGCAAAAATTTTTATGAAGAATGCATTTTTCTTAAAATGTTAATAATAAAAAAGTTTTTTCCTCTTTTAAAGACAATCCGGGGACATACTGTATAAAATAAATGAATCATTGTTGTTTATTTTATAGACGTGTATAATATCGGTACTTACTTTTAGAGATTCTATGGTGTTAACATAATTCACTACGTTCCTTTCAATAGTTTGGTTTGGAGTTGGTTCGTTGAGCGAGCTATATTCAACAACAGCAGCAATGTAACCCTAGAAAAACACAAAACTTTAATCAAGGACTTAACTTTTAATAAATTAAATCAATACAATAATTGTATATTACGCGATGAGTGTATGAGAAAAATTGTACACCATAAGACTGCAGTATTCTATGAGCGCGTAAATGTATTTAAAAATATTTTGGGTCAACTTTCGTTTAGCTGAAATCAGTTATTAGAAAAAAAATGTCTTTAAAAAGCTACTGCGACCCACGGAAAATACAAATTTTCCTGCGGAAATGCGTAATTTCCAAATTTTGCACTTTAGAATATTTTCTATTTTCTATTTTTAATATTTTTCTCAACATATAAACACAAAAATTTTCCTGCGGAAATAAGATATTTTCATTTTCTAAGGAAATTTATTAGACTTTAGAATAGCTGAAATCAGTTATATAAAAAATACATATATTTTTGCTTTTTAGAAGCATTTACAAACTCAGGAAAATAAAAAATTTGAATTGAAATGCTTGATTTTCATTTTCCATTTATTCCTTATTATAGGTATTATCAAGTCTTGTAAAGTATAAGTACCCACGAATTTAGCAAACATTTTTTTTTTCGCAGAAATTCCTATGCTTATAGAACAGTTTGAAAGAAAAAAATTCTTGGATAAAGCACTCTTTTGAACCCAAAAAAAATAATTTAAAAGTGTCTAAAATGCTAACCAATCTAATAATAAATCTCTAATAATATTTTTTACATATCGCAGTTAATTATTAAAATATAAAAACCACAGCTTAACATCCTCCACAAAGAAAAGCTAACCAAAGCAACCCAAATGCTAACCAATCTAATATTTTTGCAAAATCACAGTTAATTATTAAAATATAAAAGAAAACTGCATGATCCAATGAGTTTTTGTTTTAAATCAGCCCTATTGTTACGGTTTAAAATTTCACCGTAACTTATTTTACTTATTTAATGCATACGGATTGAGTGAAACATTTTATTACATCATAATAAAATTATAATAATCCCTATATGAACATAATATCTTCGGAAAATTATTAATACATTTTCCGATCATATATAAAACCGTTTAAAAAGATCGAAAACCTAATTTACAAAGATCCATCTGTCAAACTTCAACGCCGGTGTCACACGATCAGCTGACAAACAATTGAAACGTCAGTCTGTAAATCGTAATATAAACAAGATGAAATTTAGGGAAAAATCAACTATAATCAGGTAAAATCAATTGATTACACACAGGAAAAATACATAATAAAATCCATAACCCATATGTATATTGTAGACCCAACATTCCCACTCGTTTCATTTGGAAATGACAAAAGATAATCACATCAAGTCTATGTTCAAGAATCCTCCGAAGAAATATGCCAAGAAAATATCCTAACACAAGCATAAGTCTAAATAAAGAATTAGTAACCACTGTAGAAAGAAAGGTAGGTTTTAAACAGACAAATTGATATCTTATTAATGAGGTTTTATATTACAGTTATCGGAGACAACTCCATCCCAAGAAATTGTTGTGGTGAAGAGACTTAATAGATAAGATATTATTAGAAGTTATATGTACAGTTAAGAAATAAGCTAATTAAACGTTATTATTCAAGTTATTCAAGTAAATTTTAGTTTTATTCCTAAAAATAAGCAAAATAAGTAAAATAAGTTACGGTGAAATTTTAAACCGTAACACCAAGTAAAATAAGTTACGGTGAAATTTTAAACCGTAACACTATTTACGTAAAGCTTTAATAAAAAACAAGAATAAGTGCAACATTCCGAGGTACTTATAGTTTACAAGAACCTATATTATCTATTCTACAAGAATTGTTATTCCTTTGAAAGATGTTTTATCCCACCCATCACCCCTATTTAAAATGTATGAAAAACAAAGTGCACAAAATGACATTGACACATTTCCGCAGGATTTTTTTTTTGTATTTCTTTGCTCATAAAGGCTCGTATAAAACAAACTTAAGTTCATTTTTCATGTAACTGATTTCGGCTATTCTAAAGTCAAAGCATTTTTTTATGTAAAATAAAAATAAAAAATTTCCGCAGACACTTTTTTGTGTTTTGTTGTTTAAATTTTAAAAATAAAACAGAAAAACATGAAAGGAAACAAACAAAACACAAATGAATTGGTTATTGATAAGGTCACAAAAAAGAAATTTCTAAAATGTTTATCGTAATTCAGAATTCAATACATCGAAAACAGCCCGACGAATAATCAATTCATTTTTGTTTTGTTTATTTCCTTTCATGTTTCTCTGTTTTATTTTTAAAATTTAATACGAATTTGATTGCTTCGAATGTCTTGAATTTGAAATTATTGTAACTACGGCAACGTTGCTTAACATCGTCGTCTGACGCAAGCCCGCCACGACGGCGCGGCGGCGCGGCGACCGGCGAGTCAAAGGACCAGTTCACACGCGGCAGTTCTTGGCTGACGGTTAGGCTGTCGATGGAATTGTCGAAATACATCGAAAAAATAGCGAAAAAACAAAATACGTTGTCAATAATTGTTGAGCGAAACATGTATTTTCTTAGATTGAAAGTAGTTCGTAAAGTGGCGATAAGAGAAAATAATTCTCAACATTTATTCATTCAGAAAGGTATTCAAAGTAATGTGCGCTTTTCAAGGTGTTTTGTAAAACAGTGGTTCAAATAAAACAGAGAAACATGAAAGAAAACAAACAAAACAAAAATGAACTGATTATTCGTTGGGCTGTTTTCTAAATTTCTTGAATTGAATTCTAAATTACGATAAACATTTTAGGAATTTCTTTTTGTGACCTGATTGTGAATAATATGAATCATTTTATTAAATTTATTCCAAAATAAAGTTATTTTGCAGCATAACAAAGATTTTCGTAAACGTCATAAACGTAATGTTTTAGTTAATTTTGGTGGTTTTGTTAAGTTTTCATTGAAAGGGTAAGTACTAAAAATAATTAATGTGTTTTTTTTTTTTCTATAATTATTAATAATGAGCACCGATAAAAGATTAAATTTAACATTCCTAATTTTTTGAGTAGAAATTTGTCTATGAATTTATAAATGTAGAACTATGTTCCGCCGAACTATGTAGAATGTGGATAACATAGGAGGTTGCAACGCTGCAAGGTTTAGATACACCGTAGGGAAATCTCAGGTGAATAAACAAGTGACACTAAAAAGTTTTTTCAAATTTCCCTACGAAGAAAAATTTTAAATTTTTAAAAATTTTTTTTCGCAAAAGAAACCTCATAGGCGTGTTTCTGGGGTTGAACTATACTACCAGTTAAAATATTTGCACTTATTTCTGGGACACCCTGTATAAAGTTTTTTTTTGAAAATATTTATTTAACATAAAGTTCATATAATTCAACATAGTTTTTTCTTTCTCTAAACAGTGTATATATCAAACACTGGTATTGAGAACTTAAATAAAAAAAAATAAACAGGTATTCTATTTACAATAATTTAAATTTACACTATATATTTATATATTAACTCAAATCAATAGAGTGGCACATGCAACAGCTCTATATACTTAGTATATTATAAACATTATTTACACTATTTTCTTACATATTTTTTTTTTAATTTACGTACAAATCCCTGATATCTTGCTTCGTGCTTTAAGTCATCTGGCAATGAGTTGTATGCAGAAGCAGCCTGATATACCGGATTATGGAGTCCTTTATTAGAAGTAATGTTAGAAAGATAAATGTTCAGATGCTGTCTCGTTTTATGATCATGATTTTTGTTGCAAAATGATAATGGTGTATTTGACTTTTGACGTTGGTTAATTATTTTATAAATGAGTTTGCACTGCTCCAACTCTCGCAAGTCCTCCAGCTTAAACACTCCCAGCTCCCTGTATAAGGTCTCCGTGTGAGTCTGTTGGTCGTAATTAAATAGTATTTTTAGTGTTTTATTTTGTAATCTTTGAATATTACCAAAGTTCGCGACACCACAGGTACCCCAAACAGGGAGCAGGTATCTAAAGTGAGGTAAAAAATAAGCATTATACACTTTTAATTTTGTCTTGTATGTAAGATAGTTCCTGAACCGATACGCTGCACTGAACATAGAAGCAATTTGTTTAGTTACGTGGCTGATATGCTGTTCCCAATTAAGATTTTGATCTATTATTATGCCTAAATATTTAATGTTTGTTACCTTCTCTATAGTAATTTTGTTAATTTTAATATTTGGAGTTTTACACCGTTTGTTTTTTTGCTTAAATAACATAAATTTAGTTTTATCAATATTAATTTTAAGTTTGTTGCATAATAACCAGCCCACATATCGATCCAGGTCCCCATTTACCGTAGACTCAATTGTCGATTCGTCATCTCCACTATAAAGTAGCACTGTATCATCTGCAAATGTAAAATATTGAGCAGTCAATGCTGAACATCTTAAACTTAGTACATATAAGGAATACAGTAATGGACCCAGAACCGAGCCCTGCGGTATTCCTGTATCGTTACATTCAATTTCACTTACTCCACCATCAAGCTTCACATACTGCTGTCTGCCAATTAGGTATGTTTTTATTAAATTTAAAATTGTTCCTCTAAAGCCCATATTTTTTAACTTATCCAGCAAGATATCAAAGCTCAGCACATCAAATGCTTTTTTCAAGTCGATAAAAACGGCAACTACAATTTGTTTCTAAAAAGCTTTTAAGCTTTTTAGAAAAAAAATGACTTTTTATATAAAAAATGACTAAAAGTCATTTTTTATGTAACAGATTTCAGCTAAACGAAAGTTGAGCCGAGCTGGCCTCTGTGGAAGCGTCTCAGATACTGGCTTTTGTTAAAGCCCTGAGACTGTGTATGATGGGAAACACACAATAGATCTGTAAGCTCGCGGTGATTAACTCCCCTCCTAAACATTCTACATTCTACAAGAGACCCATGCTTATAGAAGCTTTATTTAAAATTTAGTCGTACAGTTTTGCACACCCTATTACTTACTGCATCACAAATATTAAAAATCGTTAATAAACAAACACAAGTAAGTTTTTTCCACATTTTAACGCCACTTTTCCACCTCACTATCGCTTCCTACGACACTTAAACCAATCTAATTTGCTAAACCCTTTTAATATTGGGTTGATACACATCGTGAGTAATTTTTTTATATAGAGATAACAACGTTTACTTTTAGATTAAGCTGGAACCAGGTGCATACCTACTTTGGGTATTTTTAATCAATTTTTTGAACAAATTAACTTTACAAATAATATCATATTCTACAATAGTTTAAAATAAGGACTTCTATTATACATAATGATAATGGTTAACATATTTATTTATAGTAGTAAATAATAGTTGCAGAATTTTAATTGTTCTTCCAAAAATAGATAAAATAATTTCATGGTATCAATGAGATGAGGTAATAAAGTAAAGAAAAGTTTTATTAGATTACTAGAACATGTAATGATGTCATTATTGGTGTAGTCGTTCTGTTTTTTATCAGACTCTCTCATAAAATTTTTTATGGAAGCTAAGTTATTTCTTGTTTTAAATTTTCAGCTTTGATCAGCTTTAAGGAATCTTCACACATTGCCGTACTAACTTAGTCATATTGTACTCAAAAAAGCCTTTTGGAGGAAAGTTTTGGGGTAGTTCTAATTTCTCCTATTTCTTATCTTTTGGGGGTGCTGAATTCGAATCTGAAGTTTGCTAACAAAATTTCGTGACAAAACATATGGAGAAAAATGCAAAAAACTGGATTTTCTGTTTTTTTGTTTAAAACTTTAAAAATATCAACTTTTCGTAAATAATATTTCTACTCAAAATTAAAGTAAATATAATTTCCTATATTTTTTGTTAATTAAGTTTTTTT